TATTATCTATTATTTTATTATCTTCTATTTTCTATTTTTCATTTATTATTTATTATCTATTATCTATTATCTATTATCTATTATCTATTATCTATTATCTATTATCTATTATCTATTATCTATTAGCTATTATCTATTATCTATTATCTATATCTATTATCTATTATCTATTATCTATTATCTATTATCTATTATCTATTATCTATTATCTATTATCTATTATCTATTATCTATTATCTATTATCTAGTTATCTATTATCTATTATCTATTATCTATTATCTATTATCCTATTATCTATTATTACTTCTACTATCTACTATCTACTCTACTATTTATTATCTATTATCTATTATTTATTATCTATTATCTACTACAATCATACTATATATACCATACATAATACTGTTCTGTGTCCAATCAAAAAGTCCAGACCAATTTAAAAATATCAATCAATCAGAAAATCCAGCTTCATACGATTTTATCACTGGTGGAGAACCGCATCATTATTCCTCTTTGGGCCTTTTTCATGGCTCGAGACATTTTAATCCCTCCCAATCATTCTTCCTGGTGAATTTTTCTTCATCTGCACGTGTGAAGCCACTATAAGGCCGAAAGGTTGTGACGCCTTCTTCTTTCGGAAGTTGTGACCGTTCTGTTGGTCTCTTATCCTTGCTCATATGCTCTTTCCTCTTTTCATCTTTTCCTCTTGCCTCACTCAACTCTAAGCCTTGTCTGAAGTCGCCTCGCTTTCTCGCTTTCTCGCTCTCTCGCTCTCTTGCTTACGTTGCCGTTACTAAACATCTTCATCACGAGCAAACGGGAAGGCCGGCCACGGTCCCGCATCATCATCCCCCATCAAGTTCGCATCGACATCCATCTCCCATTGATTTACGGGGATCCTCATTTGCATTCCTTATCCTCCATCCTCATATATCATCCCATCATACTAGCAAGTTCCCCGCTGTCAATGGCATACTGTGTGTGACATTGTCATGCTTCAACATTTAGCCTATGTGACATCTTACACGCATTCGGTCCTGGTTGAGATGAAGAAATGTTGAATTTTTGGTTGAAGGAAATGAAATTCATAGTCCACATAGATTAATGTTACATCGACCAGATTAACATCATCCTGGATATCATCGTCCTCTGCTTCGCTTACCCATCTCTAACCAAACATCTTCATGGTCCCGCTTATTGAAAGTTCGATAACACATCTTCTACCATCTGGATCGCACACTACTTTACATTATTACTACAATGCTATACTACTACACTCCGCATTCTTCGTTGAATGTCATTTCCGAATTCCGATGGTGACGATCCGATGATTTCTGTTCTTTTTACATCCGTCTATCTGTGTGTGTACGATTTCGTATATTATTGAATTTTTTGTGATACGGAGAATACAACGTTTCTTCGTTGTTCAGGTGAGGGATCCTCGGAGGAAAGGCCGAATGTCAATCCCACTCCTCTCGTACAGTAACGGTACGGCCTACGGGAGTGCGCATATTTCTTATTTCCCTTATTATTAATCTTCTAGCGCTTCCATGCAACATCTTCCCTGCGGTTTCCACGCCTCTGCCGGTAGTCTCCCCTCATCACCGCATAATGTCGTGTCAGCGTTCAAGCGTCCAGTAGATGCAAGTTCACCACCACCACTCGTTCGCAGAATCATGTACTATCTGGAAACGTACTATTCATTTCTTACTTTCAATATCACCTAGTTTCACAAAAAGACTAGTGCAGATCAATTTCCACTGGCTTCGGTTCCGCCGAGAGCCAATCATCATTCAATATGCCTTTTTTTTCCTTTCCATTCGGCGGCTAAGACAAGACATATCTGATATCGTAATACGCGCTGTGGTTAGGCCTCATAAAGCATACAGAAGCTATTGGGTTTGTCCCGGGTACCTGGCGCTTAATCCTTAATTTATCTGTGCTTTTCGTACCGTCCGAAAGTTTGATAAAGAATAGGAGTTGATGTCACATCTTCACGATTGTGAAGAAGGGCCCAGACCACTCTTTCCACATCTCTTATTTCTTAGTACGTGAATGCTGCAAAACAATCTTGAGTTCTCTTGGTGTTTTTGCCGATTTAACCTGGTCCCTTGATGGTCGAGACTAGTAACCCGCATCATCCTAACGTCACCCCTTTGTCGATCGAAGTTGACCTTGAGAGTAGCTTCAAGATACTACTCCTAGTACATTATGGAGATCAATTTGACAACTGTGCGCTGACAAAGTTGTGAACATGGCTCCGATTGGAGTAGAAGTTAAATTACACGTGTTTGTGATTTCTTCAACGCCACGGACATTAAATCTAGATCACAGCAGTTGGTCCTATCAATGTTAGACAAGTCTCGAAGCGAGACAATATCTAATCGTCAAATGATATTGGGTCAACCACAATCACTCGGTACGTGTCCGAAAGTAACGTACACCAAAGGACTTTGATGATGTTCGAAAATTGTTTCAGACTTCTTCGCATTTGCAAGTTCACCCGAGTGATGTGCACGAATAGATTCCTTGAATTTCTTGAATTGCATGCTGAATTTTGCCGATGGGTGTGTTATTGGATACGGAAAAGATTTGATCATTTCCGAATATCGAACTTGGCTCGGAAATTTAGTTACAATACATACACGAGGTTGTTTATCAGTCATACCAAAGTAGAAGATTAATCTCCAAGCGATGTTCTGATAGTTGCATCGACGATATGATATTGAGAAAGTTCACAGGTGGTTAGGTAATCAGTGGAAATGAAGTGTTCGCTTTCGATGGTGGATTGAACGAAGGATACTCTCATTTCATCATTCACTTCTGTTCAATTCAATTCCCTCCTCATCATTCCTATTCACGTCTTTTTTCTCTTCACTTCTCACTTATCCTGTTCATTCTCCAGCCCCTTTTCGCCCCTTCTTTATTTTTAACTCTCAAATATTTACTCCCCACTTCATCTCGATCTTCCCTCTGCCATGGCCACGAGTATACGAGTCTTAGAAGCAGCAAAACAACTGCTCACGTTCTAGTTCCTACCACCCATACCCAGATACGTATGATTTTGCATTCCAGCGACATAATACCAGAAGCATATCAATACATCTAAAATACCACGAATTGCTGGATTTGAATACATCTTCTGACTACACCATCAACAAATCAACCAGAAATAGACATACAGTTAGCTTTCCCCTTGAGTCCATACACACGAGCTTTAGAGGATAGGATAGGAAGAGATGAAACGGAATGGAATGGAATGGAGCAAATAAGAAGAATATCCAGGAAACTAATGCAGATGATTAGCATAGGGATGCGTGAATAGAAGTTGGATATGCATAACAAGTTTGTTTGTTACTTCCTTCACACGGATTTTGGAGGATGTGGTTAGCTAGTGCAAAGGTCGTTTGTGGATGGGGGTTTTGTGGTTGTGGTTGTGGTTGTGATTTTGAATGTGAAGATTTATCCTGTGTGTGCATGTGTGTGCATGTTGCTTTTGGAAGGGGGGAGGGGGGTTGTTAGAGTGTAGTTTAGTGGAGTGTAGTTTAATGTAGTTTAATGTAGTGCGATTTATTGTGATATTGTGATTTATTATGCTATTGTGTACTATTTAAATGTTTTGTATATTTATGAGAAAGATTTAATCATGATATGAATATTTAATAGATCCTTTTGGCTATTTCTGATGTTTGATATTTTCAAAGATTTCTGTGATGATTTGTTTGTTTGTTTGTTTGTTTGGAGGTGAAGGAGGTGAAGGAGGGAGATGGAGATGGTGAGGGATATGGAGTGAAGGATGGATGGATAGAAAGGTGGAAAGGTGGAAGGATAGATGAAGTCTCGAGATATAGGTGGGAGTATATTGGAATGGGAATGGAATGGGAAGAATGGAGAGAATGAAATGAAGTGGTGATTTGGGGTTTAGATTATTTGAGGAGGAATCGATGGGTGATTGGTAAGGAGGGAGGTATGTGGTGAAAGATGGATGGATGAATAAATGGATGAATGAATAAATGGATGGATGAATGGGTAGATGGATATTCGAGGTATTTATTAGGTATATGTTATAGATATATTATGGATATCAAGATGGGCGAGGGATAGGGTTAGGAATATGCATATATGTATTTGTATTTGTAAGTTGTAAGTTGTAAGTTGTAAGTTGTAAGTTGTATTTGAGATAGGGTGATGAGGTAATGAGGTAATAAGTTAATAAAGTAATGAGGTAATGAGGGTTGAAAAATACATGGGATGTGGATTGTTTTAGTAGTTGTGGATTAGAGTAGATAGAATAGATGTAGTATGATTTATTGATTTATTGATGGATGGGTGAATGGATGGATATTGTTGGGGGTGGGATGAAATGAAATAAGATGGGATGGGATATAATTGATAGGAGATTATATATTTTGTTTTATTTTTTGTCTTTTTCTTTCGACTCTTTCTATGTTTTGTTTCTCTAGTCTTTCTTCTCACTTTCTAGAGTCTTTCTTTCAAGAAGCTAGGATAGTATAGTATAGATGATCAAATGATCTAATGAATGAATAGATCTATATATCAAAAGTTGTTTGAGTTATACTGTATGAGAATAATTACATATATACATATAACAGATAATTAGAAACTTAATTTCCATCTCCAGTCTTGAGATCAAAAATTCTTTAAACGTTAATAGAATATGAGGATCTCAATTTTCTAGATACTTGGGTTTAATTCTAGAAATCGGATCCAACTTGCTATTTATATTGATATTCAATTTTTGGGATGTGAAGATGTTTATAGATGGGTGGAGTGTGTAGATATCGGTATCTTATATTTTATACTGGTGTACATTGTTATTAGATTAGAGTTTCTAGAAACAAAATTCATCTATCTATATGCCATGAAAAGTAGAAACCAGCAACCCAAAAGGCGCGAGCTTCATCCCAACCCATCTAATGCAAAAGACTCAAAGAAAAAATCAGCATGCAAAAAACAAGAAAACACATTCTCGCTAACCCTAAACCGGACTTGGAATCCCCGTTCTCCTCTGTACAACCCCATTCCCATTCTCATCCCCACTCTCCTTATCCCCCTTCTTCCCCCCTTTCCCCCTCCCCTCAAAATGTATCCTCGCCTCCCTCTCCGCCCCCTCCACATCCTTCAAACAAGGCGCGAAAATCAACCCTCCCCAAAATGCCCTCTTGACCGTTCCCACCGCAACCATTACCCACAGCGCCGTGACCAAGACACTAAAAACCGTTCCTAGCACTCTAAAAAATCGCGAAGGAAGCTCTGCTCCTATCATCACTGTCGATGTTGTGAAAACTCCCAGCGGGAAGGTAAATCCCCACCATCCCATATTAAATGGAAATCTCGATCGGGAAATACTCGCCAACGCGAAGAATAACCACAGGAGACCAAAGCCCCACATGATAAGCGCGAATAGGAAACCGAGAGTATAGAAAATGGGGCCAGGACCAGGAGCTGGGATGGCGGGGAGAGTGTTGGTTTGGGGGAAGAGGGTCAAGGAAACTTTTCCTAATTGCATGAGTGCGAAACCGCCTTGGCCTAGGGGACCGAGGGGGAGAAAGACAGAAACGATTACTTCTCGAGGAGGGATTTTGTAGACGGTGAGACGTTGGAAGTAGATTACTAGGACTGTCATTGCGAGGGGGAAACCGGTTCCGAAGAGGATGTAGGAGATTAGGACGGTATAGAGGGCGTGTTGGGGGTTGGGGACTGAGAAGTGTAAGTTTTTTGCTTGTTCATTTTTTAGGTGATGGATTTGGGAGGAAATTTTGCAATCCAAATTTAGATGAAAATGAAGGAGATTGCAAAATCCAAACGGATGTATCCAAATATTGAGGAATATGGAGTTGAGACAACAAAAATAGACTTACGGACAGAAGCGACGATACCCCCTGAAGCAGCTGCAACGATAGGGGCAACAATTGGGAGAAGCCAAGCGGCCGTCATAGTTGAGAGTTCGACTTTATGAAGAGACATACTACGAGAGAGATTAGTCAAATGAATTAGAGAATTTGAATGAGAGGGAGAATATACATTACGAAAGGAAGATAGAAGCAAGTCGCAACAGAAATAACCGCATCTATCCACCACAAAGCCCAAGCCTACATACAAATTAGTCCTCATTCAAGCCTCCCAAGTTCCTCAAAATCGTAAAAGGTACACAAAACTCACTAAATAAACCACCCATCCTCCCCAAGCCGGTACACACACAAAGACAATCATATTTATAATCGTCGCCAGCCCCATCGGGAACGTTCCCAGGAATAGCGATTGCGCTGGATGCCGTATCATTGCACTCCATATTTGCGGATACAAAATATATCTCACCAGCGAAATACCAAGAAATGTACAAAAAAGCACGATATTGAGTACAAATATGATAATAGAGATATATTTCAGCCAGGCGCCATTGTAGGGGAGATTATGGAGCAGGATGGATACGATTCCCGTGCCCATTGTTACGGAGAACCAGCTATAAGGGGTATGTTAGAACGTGAAAAGGAGCAAAAAGAAGGTGGCAAAGATCTTAACACTAATAAGAGTCTTCCCTCAGATACTGATAACACAGAAGAAAATAACATACGAAGGAGTGAAATTCCTAACAATCTTCCTCCATCCGGTGTTTTGCTTCGCGATCTCTATATCCACTGGATCAAAAGTCTTCGCGCCACCCGATTCATAGGAACTCGGTATCGTATTTCCATCATCAACCTTTCGATTAGCATCTTGCCTAGCAATTTGCGCACATGTTCCTGCACCAGAAGGATCCATCTCTTCAATTGAGATATCCAAAATAAAAAAGTAAAAAAGAAAAGGGATTTGACAAGTTCAGAGTGAAGAGTCATACATATATCAACAAAGGAAAAAAAAAATAGTCAACTCTCCCACTTTGCGAGTAAGGGCCGAGGTAAGTCGGGCACCCTACTTTCGGGCCACCCCTGTTTTGGGCCACCCTTTCACACCAAAAATCACTTTTTAGGCCTATTAATATCTCTATTAATATATAATATAATTTAATGAAAATTTATATATAGATAATTTAGATCGTTTTAAGCTTATTCTGAAATTCTTAGATATTTAGGACTATTCTAGATTGAGAGCTAAAGGTTCAAAATATCGATTTTCAAATTTGTATAGGAATCACATACAAATTTAGAATTTTTATAAAACCTATTGTTTTTATATAAAAAATAATATAATAATATATCTTTTTATATATATATAGTTCTATATTCATATAGTATACTAAGAGCAAATCACAATATCACATGATCAGATCACATGATCGTCGCTTAAGAGAGCTCTTAGCCTAGAACGGCCTGAAAATCAATTCTTTATTAGCTCTTTATTAGTTCTTTCAATCCATTCGTAGTAAGATCGACATAGTACTAGCGAAATCGAATAAGGAATAAGAAAGAAAAGCTTTATTTGATGGAATGGCCGGATTAGGAAGAGATCTACGAGAAATAAACGAAAGTGGAAAGCTAGATTAGTAGGAAAAAGCATAAAATAAGGCCTTTTCCCCTCGAATATAGAAAAAGAAAAAAGGGAATATCATATACTGTTTCATGAAAATCACGTGTTTCATAAGCTATTTAGTTGTTAATACGAGCCAGCTTCCCATAATAGACTAATACTAGTCTAATCCCTATTATATACTATATATACCATATACTCATATACTAGCTCATGACCTACGATAAAACCTTTAATAACTTTTTAACAACAATTATTAAAAGAAAACTGTATATCTTTTTGAAAGATTTGAACTTAAATCTATATAGAAATTCAAAAAAAAATTTAAGAAAAATTAACAGATATAGAGATATAGTATACGGTGTTATATGGATATATATATAGTAGTAAGCTATCAGGAAACAATCCCTGATACTGTGCCTTTTGGACAGATTGCGTGTGTGGCGTAGTGGTAAAGCTTACAACTCCTATTGTGTCCGCTTACGTAACATACGGTGAGTTTAGAGTAGTATAAATAATCCCTGTCATTTTGAGGATACCCCTATAAATATTTATTTATAAAAAAATTTCTATTTTTTCTGAATCTCTTATATTAAACATACTATAAATTTATAATAAAATTTTATAGTTTATTTTTAGCAATCTTTATTAAAAAGTTATTAAAGATTTTATAAGAAATTTAAATTTGTATGTGATTCCTATATATGTGACGATCCTGCCATATTAGTGGATCGGCTAGGTCCTCACGTGATCCACAATCCTGTATATTACCACTTCCTTCCGAAGAGCTCTTCTAGCTCTTCACCTTAGTATTCTAAATGATGCAATCGTCACATTATACTAAGGTCATATAAATTTTTTAAGCTCTTGATCGCTCCTGCGAAGCTTCCTATCGCTAGCCCGCTCGCCGAATGCCTACTGCCTTCCACGCCCGCTCCCCCGATACGACCATTCGTACGACCTCCGATCAAGACCTCTCCCTAGCTCCGCTCCCGCGGACCTCACCCACCGACGAGCTGATACCTCACTATCACATCATTTAGAGTCTCCTTGCTCTATCGACAATGGATCCGAAGATCCTGAACCTAGCACGCAAACTGCAGGAACTGATCGATTCGAAGCATCAATACGCTCGCACGATCGATGCCGCAACGAAGCAGCTTATTCAGTTGATCTGCCAGGCCAATCCGCGTTCCACCAACGCTTCCGCCGCTCCATCGGCACCACCGACAAGAGACGCATTTCAAGCGGATCTCCTCTCTTTCGCTCATTTTATCTTTCAACAACTCTCGAAACCTCCTATTGATTTCGAAGCCTCTCTCGCAAAAGCGATGAAACCGCAAAACGCGTACTTCCGCAAAGCGATCGATGACGCTACGAATCATATTATAGGCAACATTGGAACTAGTATTGGAACTATGGACCAGATATTAGCGGTAGTAGAGAATATAGATCATAATATAGTTGGATTGGAGAACCGTATTTAGAATACTATTAGTACGCTCGAGGGCGAGCTTTTCAGAAGGGGGGGGTAGTGTGACGATCCTGCCATATTAGTGGATCGGCTAGGTCCTCACGTGATCCACAATCCTGTATATTACCACTTCCTTCCGAAGAGCTCTTCTAGCTCTTCACCTTAGTATTCTAAATGATGCAATCGTCACAATATATATTTAGAAATCGATGTTTTGAAGCTCTAGCTCTTAATATAGAAAAATCCTAAAAATCTAAAAATTTCAGAATAAGCTTAAATCGATCTAAATTATATATATACAAATTTTCATTGAATTCTATCCATAAATAAGAAAGTTAAAAATTCCATTTTTGGTGTATTTTGGGTATAAAAAGTGGCCCAAAAGGGGGGTGGCCAGAAAGTGGGGTATCCGACTTACCTCCTAAACCTAGAATTTATTGGCCTTTGCCTACCTGTTTACTCATCACATAAATATGGAATCTGTATTATATATCACGTAGAATTCTCGACTTGTTCTTCTTGCAGGTAAAGTGAGTAATCAGATCCTGGATGTTTTTATGGAATTCTGATATATAATCAAGAGATCTAGATGGAGGCTTAAAAATGATGACTGGGCTGAATATGTCAATTCGGTAACGAATCGGATGTTTTCAACTTGATTGGTTACCGAGTTCGGAGTTTGATGGCAGACATGGCATACATCCAGGCGAATTGGAGATGATGTGGAAGAGCCTCGATATCTTGGTACAAATGTTATTGGGTGAGCTCTGATGAACTGAAGGTTTACTGGGATATAAGCTTCTTGTTATCATACAATACTCGGATGAAAATTGAATCGGCAACGAATAATATTTATTTGGATGGCAAAGAAATGTTCATTTCTTTACCTATCTAATAGTATCTATCTACGGGAATGCTTGCAACGCCAACTTTCATCAAGAAAGAAGCAATTATACCATGCTTTGCATATGTGCATGAAACAGAAAACCGAAGGTTCTACTTCAGTGACATGAGTGGGGGTACGCACAAAGAGCTCCGCCCGAATTCTCCCTTTCCTTTCCCTCAACGTGTTCTACCCATCCAACCAAACCATTCCTTGGCCATGCCAACCCTGAATATTCATTTCCGCCAAAATCATCCAAAATCCATCGTTCATAATCGTAATACCATTTTCAGACTTGGAGGTTCTTGCCGAGAACCTTTGCGAGGTCATCAACATCCTTGTCCTCTCTTTGTGCAACAGGTTCCCCTTCTTGAGCTTCCTCTGCGTCATGGATCAATTTTTCTCTTTGCTCCTCTAGTTCTTCCTCTTCTTCTTCTTCCTCATCACTCTCTTCATCGCTTTCTCCTTCCAAATCCTCCAATTCGTCAAGACCCCAATCATCCTCAATGATTATCTCACCCGCCAACTTCTCCTTTCTTTCCTCCAACAACTCCTTCAATTCCACAATGCAATCATGATCCTCGTCGAATTTGTTTCCATTCAACTCAATCTTCTTCAACTTTGGTAGAGCCTCCTTCGCAGCGGCGGTAAAGACTGTTAGGCCCTTTACTCCAATATCATTGAACTGCAATCTCAAAATCTCCAACTTGTTGTTTCTGCCCTTCTTCAAGGCCTCTGCAAAAATAACACTCCCCTTCCCACCCAATAAGGAGTCCCCAACACCCAACTCCTGAATATTGGCCCATCCTCCCACGACTCTAGCCAAGGCCTTTGAACCCGTAATTGTAAAAGTATTGTCTTGTAGGTCGAGAATCTCAATGTCTTTAGCATATTTCAAACCTTCACTCAACAAGTGACTAATTCCCTCTTGTCGAATGCCATTCTGTACCATCTTGACTTCCTTTACACCGGTATGCAAGCTATATGCCTTTGCCCAAGCCGTCATACTGCCATTCTCCAATCTGTTGCGTCCGCAAATGACAGTTTCCAAATCCGGAACTTGTTTTCCTGCCGCACGTGCCTCGACTTTCTTTGCGTGTAATGCGCTAAGTGCATCTGCAATCAGAATACCAGCATGAGGTCCCAGTCCGTTATTATTGAGGATGAGATGTTGAAGTGGAGTGTGCGAAGAAAGGAATGCGACGAGCGGAGCTTGAGTATTGAGTCCAAAGGCATTATCGTTCAAATTGACCGTATGCAAATTTGGGAGTTTGAGCAGAGCAGTAAGGAGGGATGAAAGAGCTTGTGGAATTTCGTTAAGCAAACGTCCAGTAAATATATCCGCCAGGTTTGCAATCTTAATGTAGAGGTCAGCAACTATATTTGTCCCTTCGTTCTAGGCATCTAAAATGCCGCTTGAGGAGAATAAGACAGAAATTGATGGAGGAAGACTGGACATACCTTCAAACTTGTCTTCTCTTCCAAAACCTCTCCAATCACCCTACAAGCCTCAACGCCTAAAGTGTTTCCCAAAAATCTCACTTCCTCTACATCTTTCATCTCCCTCAGCGTCTTGATATGCGGCTCGACATCGGCGGCGGAATCCAATTTCAATCCCTTTCCTTCTAACGAGAAGATTTTTGTTGCGGTAGCCATCTTGAGTCTTAACGTTGCGCAAGTATAACAAGTTTCGAAAGAGACAGGAAAAAAACAAAAATTTGCAAGTAAGAGATCTAGTTGCAGATTGTAGAAATTGATGGATGCGGCAATGTTTTTAGGTGGTGGGGGTTGCAGCTGCAGGTCTTCAAATGCTCAGGGTTAAGACAGGCTAATCTCGATTTGGTCCATTGTCGGATCGGGGAGACTTTTTACCGACATATCGGCCGCAGACGGCCGCTCGGTCCGGGATAATGTCGTGATGTTATGTGATGGATGGAAATTTGGAGCTTTCTTACAAATACAAATACAATTATATAATTACACATACAAACACTCCACGAACACAACAAATCGAGAGGCAAAATTACAGTCGAGTGTACATGTACTATTTACAAAGCCTTTTAAAAGACGATATTCGACATATGAACATGTCAACATCTGCAATCAACATGCGTATGTCTCTCTCTCTACTCCAAAGTCCCTTGCCCCATCGATTTTGAGTGAGCAAGTTATTGATTCTGAAACTAGCTACATCGGCCACCAGCGCAAATATGGGCGTAGATCTTAAACCAACTGGAGAAGCTTCTGCAAAGCCCAAGGTACGAACCCGTTTTCTTTTCATGAGTGGCAGTTTAGAACATTAGCTAAGTAGTTTCTGGAAAAGCCGTGCTGCGTATGTAAAGATGAGAAAGCTGCTCGAGACGAATGTATGCTATTTAGCACGGCCAAGGATCCGCAAGTAGCCTGCGCAAGTATGGTTGAAAAATATAAGAGTTGTATGGCTGGTTTTGGGTTCAATTTGCCATGAGTCAATGGCGAAGACCGCCTGTACGATATTAAAGGATTACAATGGTGTTTGGGCATTTAAAAGGCGTTATATGGCGGGATTTGATGGATGCAATGGGCCGAGAAAGGTCACGTAGAAGGATCCTTTTATGGATCTCATAGGATCACGAAGAACCTCCCAACTCTATATTTGAGCAGATCATGTACGGCAAACATATCTGTCTTGTAATATTGTACAACTTTATAGATAATGGTGAACGACGAAGAAGGCCCTCTCATACAAGATGACTTTTATTCACCCTTGTTTTCCCGCTTACACCTGAACGCCTACTTTCCAATTGACATCCGTTTCGAGTTTTGGTATCATAATCCTGCAAGCACACTTTGAACTCCCACGCTTCCCGAATCGTCTCTCTTCAATACAAAAGCTTTGAAGTCTGCTTTCTGCAACTTCTTGCTGGCCCCACTTGCAAGCACAGCTCTCGATTTTTCTTTAAGAGCCTCTGCTCCAACGATGAACAAATTGCCAATGTCGCTGAGGATTTCCACTTCACTCGTGATATCCTTTGTTAATGGCCAGTCTTTCAGCGCGGACACATAACTTGACATATCTTTCGTAACCATCAAACCACCAGTAGCATTCACTTGGAACTTTTTGAAGTGTTCAAACAGCATGTCTCGAATGCTGATCGCGAGTTCACAACTAAATACCTCGAGATTCTGCCCATCAACAGCTTGTGCGGCATTCTTAGCCACACGCTGGAGAAAATTACAGATAGCAAGACAGGTCGCAGTTTGTAAGGTCTCAATTGAACCAAGATCACTATCCTTAGGTCGAAAGTCCGTTTTTTTCTGGCCTGCCAACAGCCTTGTAATCCAGTTCAGTACCACAGTAATGGTACTACGCATGATGTCGTTAGCCTTTTTTTCGATTCTCTCCACACTCGCTTTGGTCTGTGATTCCATGCCACGTCGAACAGTGGTATTTGTTTCTGCAAGGCGTATGAGTACCGTGTTAATGAACCGCGACATCACATTTGTAATGATGACTGCCGGTCGCACTGAAGGTAGGTAGGCCAAATCAGGCTCGGTTTTGATGTTTTCTTGGGCGGCGGCTCGTTCGGCAGCAGCCTCAAGCGCTGTCTCGATATACACCTCACCCATGCTGCTAAGCAGGAGGTTCAGAAGGGCCGAGACATCTTTAGGTGTGTCACTTCCACTTCCCATCTCCAACGCTCGTCGCACACCTTCTGCAAGCCATTTAAGCATACGTTTGGCATTTGCGACACTAATCACACCATCTTCATCTGTGACTTCAATCTCATTCTTATTGTTATCAAGGTCTCGAAGGCCAGCAACACGTAACATCATAGCCTTTTGAGTGGGGGTGAGTTCAGACGAGTCGAGACGATCGATGTATGCATCCTTTGCCGAAGATAACAGCTGACTTCCCTGCTGAGCCAAAGAAGCCATGAAGCCTGTTGGAACCTTTTTTCGCCTTGAGTGGTAGATAGTAAACTTGAAGAGCAATGAAGAGAAGAGCTCCTCCAGACTCCTCCTCTCTCGATCAATATACGAATTTCCAACCAGATATGGAACGAATAGTTCGTCTAATTGCTGATCTAGACTTTGTGCAGTTTGAGCTGTGCAAGGTTCGGGGTGCTCTGTAAGACCGTGTGCTTTAAGGTCTTCGATCAAGCTATTAATATAAGTCCTTGAGGCATGCAACGACCTAAGGAAGGCTAAAGAAGAAATAGTATCGGCTTTTTCAAGCACCATCTCTAAACGCTGCTGTATAGATTGCTGGAATATGCGCTGAATAAATTTGATGAGGACGACTTCATAGAACGGAAATGCTCGCTTGATAATGAAAGATTCCTCTTGCATGACAGCTCTGATCTCATCAATGAGAGATTGTAAGCTAGGTTCAACTCCTGGGGGCTCAGAGTCGGGATCGGCTAACATCTCCCACGTCTCATTGTCGGTTGTGACCTCCTCTGCAATAAGTTGACTTCGGTCGATGAAGAATTGATGCTGATTGACAAATGTACCAATGACACTAGATCCACCGTTGAAATCGTGTAAGACCTTTGCGCACTCGAGCATATCATCAAAGTTCTGGCGCCGATAACTGTTGTCAAACTGTTTCAAAAGATCCTTTTCTAAAGTTTCAGAGAATTTCTCTATAATTTCCCTAGTGTTATGGCCTTTGTATCCAACAACGCCGTTTGTAATTCCATTGGCTTTTTTCGAACCATTAGCCCAAGATGCCGGATCCAGTCTCTGGCTCATGCGCATTAGCTGCCTGGCGATAACAGCAGATCTAACTTTGTTTTCCCCTCCACCTTGCCGTCTGATCATATCTTCCAAAGATATGAGCGACCCATTCTCACTAACTTCTATCCAGCATTGTATTAAGAAGTTGGCATCCATCGCACGCCGTCTCTGCTTGTCTAAGTCCTCGAGTCGTTCTCCGATTTGGACCGCAATATTTCCTCCTGCCTCCGGTCGCCCATATCGATCTGTGGTTGTGCCATTTGTGCCATTAGGATTATTTAGTGTTATATCGAGCGATTCAAAAGAGTCAATTGATTCATCCAGCTTGCGCCCTAAAGTGTCTAATGTTTGATCATGCTGTATCTCGGCCCGCCGAACAGATGTCAGGAGGTCTGTCTCCTTCTCCTCTAGCTCATCTGAAAGTGTCGCAAGCTGTTGCAGCGCACCTGAAGTCTCATTAGCATTGACAGTATTGATAATCGAGGAAGTGAGTGTGTATACTTTCAAACGTTCTTATGAATGGTTTGGCATCAAATGCAGGTTGAGCTGGTCCAGAGCGCCTGTTTATCGGAATCGCACTTTCGGACAGTTCTTCCACGAAATCTCTCACTATGAAGTCTTTACTTGAGAAGTTTTCCAAGGTAAAGCTTGGCCCTTTTGGATATAGTGATCTCACTGAACCACTATTAAGAGATGCCATACTTAAATTTCATGAAGCTTGTATGTGAAGTGCGTTTTGACTTATGGGAGCAATGTATCAGTAGCAAGGGTCGGAGGCGCGGAACGGTCAGCCTCGCTTGAACCTTGCAGACCTGTGGATCCTCAAAAATCGTGGCCTCGTAATGAATTCCAGCCTTTCAAATGTTCTAGAGATATTTTAGGACACTTCGCTCCCCAATTTTCTATCCATTATCTTGGGGTTCTTTACACTTCTTGTGCCACTATCAACATGACTAGCAAATCGAAAGCTCTCGAAGCGTACCGCGAAGATGCAAAAGGTGGTCACACGCTATTAACAGCAGAAGAAAGACGAAAGCTTATCGAGGTATGTTTTGGTTTCGCCCTGTCGTTGTGTACCTGCAGGTACCCATTCAATTGACTCGTCCACTCATTGACGCTGTAACTGCATCTTAGCCACTGCTCCCTTCCGATCTACCCTCGCGAACTTCATCAATCAAAAGCCAAAGTAGATCTAAGTCGAAGTCGAAGTCTAAATCGTCAGCTTCAAAATCCCGCTCTCATCTTGGCATTCGCAATTTCTTTCGTTTCCAATTGCACGGATTAGTATATGCTGTTGTGCATGCAGTGTTTTCATTATATATTAGATTAAGGCAAGCATATCATGCGGTAAAGGATCGCATATTTGCGATTCTATTTTACCATCACCGGACGCCAGGACTGATACAGAAGGATGTAAAGGGGTTAGAGAGATTACCCGAGCATGTCAGTGTCATATTAAATTTGGAGGACGGTGCAAGAGGAGGAGCGGGATTGGAAGCTTTAGTCGATGAGGTAGCAGAGATTACAGCATGGTGTGCATGTGTAGGAATTCCAATGTTGTCGGTGTACGAAAAGACTGGTATGTGATTGTAGTATGGAAGGGAAGATATGATTGGGGGCGTGCTAATGATGGAATGCAGGAATTCTTAAAGGTTATATACCTGCGACGCATCGAGCAGTAGTGAGAAAATTGGCCTCATATTTTGGACCAGATCATCCAGCGTTGTCTATGAGAGCTCCCCATGTCCCATCCATGGAATCCTCATCAGCTACGTCGACGACCGATACACTTCCTGGCTCTTTACAGCATATTTCGGTGCTACTTCTCTCAAACGAAGACGGCCGGGATTCATTGGTTGACTTGACCAAAACGCTAACAGAAATGTCTCAACGAGGCAAAATTGAGTCGAATGATATCAGCCAAGAACTCATTGATGCCGAAATTACGGAAAGCATCATGGGAGAGCCAAATCTTTTGATATTATTTGGACCAACGGTCGAACTGTCCGGATACCCACCATGGCAATTACGCCTCACAGAAATCTTTCACGTGCAAGATAATCACGGAGTTGGATATCAAGTTTTCTTGCAAGCGTTATATAATTATGGTAACGCACAGATGAGGTTCGGAAGATAGATTAGATCCCATTACAATGCGAGGGTATATAAATTCGGATGGTGGGTGAAGTTTACTTCTAATCAATCCAATCATAATTCTTTCCATATTCTCATTTCCTTCAGGATGTCATCCCATTTATACACGGGTCCAGTGCCGACATTATAATTATAGTAGTTATCCGTCCCACCCTTTACCATAGCACGTCTAAAGGTAATATTGATTCTCCCCCCATCATCGGCATTCTTCCCTGTTCGCTTGGGAATAGAATGAAGCCAATTTGCCTGCGTCCTACCTCGCATCAATATCATATCACCGCTTGCAAGTGGCAACTTTATAGGTTTTGTTTCTGGCGGAGGAGGAGCATCATCTTTTGGCGGGGTAGGTTTATGTTTCATGAGGAAATCTCTCCTTGCTCCAAGCGAGTAACTTGCAATGGCCGGCAATGGGCCTAAGAATCTTTCATCGTCACTACTGTTGAAAGCCGGGAAATCAGTATGTCCTGTCAGAGACGAATTTTGGAGGAAAATGAGAAGAGAGGTTGCATTAGAAAATAGAAACGATGTGTCTGGAGAAGAGGAAAAGTGGGCCTTGAAATCAGAGCACAGGGTTAGGTGTGAAAGACAGCGAAACCTGTCTACCGTTGACGTACTGATATGAGATCGAATCCGATCCAGATGCATAATAGTTGACGAGACAGAAATTGAACTTGCAACCCGTCGCCATTTCAGTGGAAAGTCGTAAATCGTCTAAACATTTGGGGATTGGCCGAGGTGGATATTTGGTGTAACATCGCTCTTTCTCGATTGTCTTACCACTATTGGCATCAAGAAGTTCTCCATTGTCATTAAACTTAGATGTTTCATCGAGACCGAATACCGTGGTCCACCTTCTCGAGTCTTAGTGATTGGCTTGCATTCAAAGAATGGAAGGTATACCTTGGAGTTTTGATATGCGTCGATATACCTCCTCGCTTGATATCATACTCCACACGATAAAAGGGCAATTCCGAACGAAGAAACTGGAACATCTGACGTTCAAGATACTTTGGAATGTAAGGCTCAAAGTAAAGAAGATCGAGATCAGCTTGATCATTTATCTCTTTGCCGATCGTAGATGGAAACGAAGACAGCTCCGAAGATATGGATGAAGGAAGACATGGTATTGGAAATGGATAAGTTGAGTGACGCGTGAATTCGCGTTCCTTCATTGATTAGTGGCGAAATGAAGCTGTTGTGTTGTATGATACTTACCAATGCTTCTCCTGTTGCTTTCGCTTCTTCTGTTGTTGTCAATTCTGATACTCGGGGTTTCTTTGCCGGTGGTTTGAAGAAGGAATCTATCGTTCTTTTCGCTGTCGACATTTTGAGATACAATTCTTTATAGAGCTACACCAACAGCATTCAACGCGTCTGGAAATCTTAATGAAAATAGCCTTTCATGACATCACCACCTGATTCGGTCATAGCCTTGTCCAGCCTTATCGCTAGCTTATGATCTAAAATCTCTCGCTTCAGCCTTGTGCGAAATTATGAATCGTCTACACACAAAATTAAAAACTTTACAAGAAATGACAAAACGATATGAAGTTATGGAGGTATGTTCGCATTTCGTATTAACGAATAGCTTTACTGATATCTTACGTAGAAATCTACAGTAACATCTAACGACCAAATGTCACTATTTCGCCCACCCGTTGTGCGCTCCGCAGCGGGAGTACTCGATCGCGCTCTATTTTCCAAAACTATACCAATCTCCGCAGCGAGACTTATGAATAATAAAATTATATCAAAATGTCGATCGCAATTGACAAAAAGCAAAGAAATGTTGCTGGAAGATAGAGTTGCGCCTATACGATCGGATCCAGATCCAGAATTTGCGGCGAAAGGTGGAAAGTGTTTGCTTCTGAATCCTAAAGTAAAACATGATGGTATAGTACCTCGGATTTCTTAGGGGGTGTAGAATGAGATTCTGATTTTACTTCGCAGATCCTACCACTTGGAGTCCAATTTTACATGAAGCTGTGAAGGCACAGGAGTTGGGAGTTATCCCATTTGATTTGACTCTGGGTTATGATCATTGGAATTATAGTATGTTATTTTCCGGTCACCATATGCATTTATAGGAATTAATCTTTACAGTCGATATCATGAAGTCTATTCTTCCCGAAGATGCCCAAGGAGAAATTCCAGTCGGTTTCGCCATTGTCGGGCATGTTGGTATTACTCCTCTTTCCAATTGTCTGAACTTCTCTAACAGTACCAGCCCATCTCAACCTACATGACGAATATCTTCCTTACAAATCTCTCGTTGCGGCAGTTCTTATGGACAAAAATCCCACTATCCGTACGGTCATCAACAAAATTGATGACGTGGGCACCGTTTCTGAGTACCGGACTTTCTCTTACGAAGTGCTCGCCGGTGAAGATAACATGAATGTTGAAATCCGCGAAGGAGATTGTACATTTCGGTTCGATTACTCAAAAGTTTATTGGAATAGTAGATTGCAAACGGAACACAAGCGATTGGTGGATCTGTTTGAGCCTGGTGATGTCGTCTGTGACGTTATGGCGGGGGTGGGTCCTTTCGCCTTACCAGCAGGAAAGAAAGGGGTTTTTGTGTGGGCAAATGATTTGAATCCGGATAGTTACAAGGCCATGAAAGATGCGGTTATTAGAAATAAGGTCCGTCTCCCCCTTGCTGAAGATCCTGCCCCATTTCATGATGATATCAATATCACGACGGTCAACATAAACCACAAGTTGGGTTACTTTGATGAGAATGCCTTTGACAAGGCGCTTTAATCTGATCAAGACTCCATTCTTCAATCGTATTGAAAGTCACAAAAGCTCATATAGTTAATAACTCTTAAGGTCGAAAATTTCGTTCGTCCCTTCAACGAAGATGGTCACAAATTCATCCATCAAGCCGTAGACGAACTCCTCCGACTCACGGCCACAAACCAAAACACCATTACTATCGCTCCCAAGCGACCCTCACGCAGTGCTCCTCCGTCATCTCAACCACCTCCACCTCCCAAAATCCTCACTATTCCCAACACCATCTCTCACTTTGTAATGAATCTCCCTGCCACCGCCATAGATTTCCTTCCCTCTTTCCACGGCCTTTATCATAAATCTCAACACCTATTTGCTCCACACACCGAAACAAAATTGCCAATGGTACATGTCCATTGTTTTGCGGCGAAGAATGAAGACAACGAGGCGGCTAATATAGAAATTTGCGAAAGGGTGAGCGAGAAATTGGGGATGAAAATTGAGCAGGGTGATAAGTATGAGACGAAGGTTTGGGATGTGAGAGATGTGGCGCCGAAGAAGAGGATGTTCTGTGTTAGTTTCAGGATTCCAGAAGAGGTAGCTTTTGGGGAGAGGAGGGGTTAGAGAGCGGTTGGATAAGAGGACTAGGTAGCTATGCGAATTGGATTTTCAGGAATTAGAAGATCACCTACCTATAGAAACTACCTACATAAATTTACATCTAGCATGAGAGTTGAATGAGAAGCAGAGAAAGCTATTACAAACCCGTACCTAGGTAGTGTCTACATCTGCTTGAATACAATGGGCTCTTCTCACCTACCTACCTACAATAACAATAATAGTAATAATAACAATAACAACAACAGTATCAGATCACGCTTTCTTGGTACACAATACACATCAAAGAACAAGTAAGTACCCTACATTCAAGATTTTAATGCCCGAAGCCAAGGCCAAGTACAAGTACAAGTCCATATACTTCGCTCCGGGTGTCACATCGCACTGCAATACATGATTTTTTCTCTCCCTACCCTACCCTACCCTACCCTACCCTACCCTACCCTACCCTACCCTACCCTACCCTACCTACAAGCACCTACCGGGATCGACATGTAAATGTTGAAAACTGGGAGGTCGGACCATATGTTTGTGTGCTTCGTAGTGGGTAGGTAGGTAGGTAGGTAGGTAGGTAGGTAGGTAGGTATGTGAAAAGCGTGGGGGAACCTGGTTGCGTGGGGGTGTGGGATGCGATGGGATGGGATGGGATGGGGGTATTAGTCATTTTGGTGTAGTTTGGGGGTGTGTGCATGGGGGTTGGGGGAAGTTTGTGTGTGTGTGTGTGTGTGTGTGTCCATGTGTGTATGTAGGTATTGTATGTTGGTAAGCATGTACCAGTATGTAGGTGTATATTTTAGGTATGTATGTGTCTATGTGTGTATGTGTGGAGCGACATGTTTGTCGTCGATGTAAAGTGTGGAGGTAGCACGACATGGAAATACCGTGAGGCGTTGTGGTTTGTATCTATCAACGTTCCTGTTTGATATCTTGTTTTCTTGCTTTCGCCTGTTTTGAGCTTTTGCAGAGTCTTTATTGGGTGGGTTTTGGGTGGTAGATATGGTATGATAGGGTATGGTATGGTATGGTGTGATTTGGGGTGTGTCCAGTTTATATCAATGTCGCTTGAAGAACATATCCAATGGCTTCGATGTTTCCTGTCTGGACCCTGAAGCTTTTCACATGTGGTTTATGAGCTTGGAGATAGGGATGATGAAAACGAACGGAGCAGTATCGAATATGTAACTCCATCCCCAGTGAAAGAGATTGCGATAATCATCCGATGACCCCAAATATCAAAAGATCTTCCCAATTTGATTCCTCGACATCTCGGATGCGTCTGTACTTTCCATAGTGCCATTCGGAAACCGGGGAGAGAGGTACCTGTACATCCGTATGTTGTGACATTCAAGGTACTGTACCTGGCTCGCTTATTCGGTACATGTTCAATCATTGTGTTTCCTCGATGCGAGATTTGATTCAACGAACCATGTAGGATGTATCATGTACATCATTGTACATAGACGAGACGAAGACGATGTATTGAAGTAAGGACCCTTGAAGCAGTACACTTGAAGCAGGTAGGGTTGGGATACGACGTCGATAGATGAGATGTATTTGATACTTCACAGAGATGCTTGATAGAGTCCCACTGACTTCCAAGACGATGATCAAATAAGTAGTGCTGTC